GTCATAAGTACGCGGAGAGCCCACAATGGCAAGCAAACACAAGTCACTGACTGCGACCTTAGGAAGTCCCATTCCAATAACAGCCTTAGCGGTGTGAGGAAAGTAGATCCCTCGATAAGAGATGATCATCAGTTGGTGAACCAAAGAGTCGACATCACAACCGATGGCGTGTAGGGCTGAGATTATGGCGAGGGAATATTCATCAGCACCATACTTCTGTTTCTTCTCATTCCACACAGTCACTCCACGCCCATCCGAGACTATGCTGACGTCTATTACAGTTGCACGGTGATCTCGAACAGCGATTAGGTCAGGTTTGATGAAGGTCGTCGAAGTTGGTGCTCTCAACTCCTCGAAAACGGTGTATCCCAGCCGGCGGAGACGTTTTGCAAGTTCCATTGCGACCCGATTATGACGAGCACAGCTGGCATCATGCGTGATCCAGCAGGATTGCAAAATATGCACCAAACTCTCCGGTTAGCTACAGTTTCCACGACATAAGATCGTCTGGCCACGATGACCATGCTGAGAGCTTCTAACTCTCGTCCTAAGCAGGTTGCATCGGAGCTGGATACCGCTTCAGCCTTTGCTGACGATTAATATGCTTTGATGTGACTGATGATTTTGTTTGATATTTCACCAGGGAGGGAGATAATTCATAATGAATCGCGGCGGTATAGTTGAATTTAGCAGGAAAGTCGGTGGAGCAGTCAATAAATTGTTGCTGAAATTCGGCGCAATGTTCCGGGAACCGGCTTGGGGAAAAACTGATTTTTAATTCTTCTGGAATGAGAATAATCATGATTAGGTCGTGTTATGGAAGCAAATTTCTTGGCAGCTGTATATAAGATACTGATATCTCGATAATTCTTGCTTACTTGTTTTGTCATCTTCTTAAGTAGTTAAAAAATTGAGATACTGAATTCAAAAGAAACAAACTGCGTCTGGAAATCTACCGGCATACTAGTATCTCTGGGGAGTTAATTAGGCTAGTTGATCAACCACCACAGACTGCATCTCCTCCATGGAACAGAAGAATGTCTGCGGGGATGTAATGAAAAAAGGAGACAGTACTTACGTAGAGGCAACACACTGCGTAAAATGCACAATACTTGTTAAAATGAGAGAAATGGCATCCTCCGTCTGAGCTCCACTGTTTTTTCGATGAGTGACAACCTAACTGACATCTATTTGACTGGGCTATTTCCAAATGATATTGTGGGGTTTCCGTATTAACGCTTTCGTATTACGTTTCGTCACGGTCTGGTAGCTGGCTGAAGTAATCCACACCGTGTCCATTCTTCTAGAAGTAGTAATTTATCATATCTTCGTTTCTTTCGAGGTATAGATGCGAGAGATCAGGAAGTTGGAAAACTTTTGTGGTTACCTTTGATCAGTTTGGAATACGGTCGGTTCTAACGGAACAATAGGCCTCACGTTGGGGGCTTAGGAAGTTAGGGGCCCTTCTGTAATATAGTTATATCCTAACTTAAAATGGAAACGTTGTTATACCTCAAATCCAGCTTCTATCTTGTGGCTTGGTGTAACCAAGGCAGTTCACCAAGGCTTGTTTGATGGACGTCCGAAAACCGAACTACCGATTTTCTTCTGAGACGGAATAGTTTCCAGCATGGCACATTGTTTGGCTATATAATACGCTGTTATGTTGTTAAACGGTTTGGATTAAATGAATTCGCTTTGGAGTAAGAGAAGGCAGCTGCCTTTTCAAGGGTTGATGTTTTTGTTTCCCAACAAGATGTAGTTTGATTTTCATTCACACAAGGGGATAGACTGGTCCTCCTATTTTGGGTTTCCAACCCCTGGTATGACCGACGATTTTCTGCCCCTAATGTACACGAAAACTGTACCAAAATGCAGTAGATTTAACACACTTCGTGACTATCATTCGAATACCACGTCAGAGAATCACACTTAGGTTGCTGGAATTGGGGATGTTCTGACAAGTCTGTCACCGTGTTCACATCGCTGTCTTAGGTCAAGCGTGTGCTCTGTCTAGAGTAGAGCCTTCTGTCAGACCTGCACAAACTTTTCAGTTGCCTGCATTTGACAGTATGTCGCACCTAGCAATCCCAATGACCATAGTTTCTACCTGGTAGTTAAAAAATCCTCAGTAATTGGAGTCGTGTACACAGAAAGTACAGTTAAATTCACTGGCGTGTGTCGAACTCTAACCACCGAAATCCTGAGTGAGATGTAGTTCCAAGATATCACCGCATTGTGAAAATGGTCACTCGAGGTAAACAAGACCCATTTGAGTCACGAGACGCTCTCCATGTCACTGCAGTAGGTGGGCGTCCATTCCTTCCACAGGCTTCCGTACAATACCTGCTTTGGGTTTATCTGGTTTCATTCAAGAATGTTGTAACCAGCTGGTTGTCCTCAAGCTGATGCTTCGCCTGAACTCTGTAGATGATCACACTAAATGTACGAAGCGCTTCCGTTGTATTCTGCAGGTTCTTTTGGATACACCGACGGCTGAACAGGTTACGGGTGTGAGTTTTTGGGTACCTGTTAAACAGACATGAGTGTGACATGAGTCTGTGGAGTGGGGAACCTGTCCTCCCGGAACAGTTGTCAGAGCATTGAAAAATGCAGGGATACCCCTTGGTCATGTTCATAATGGATAACCTTTAGATCAGAAAGTTTGACTCTGGTTCTGGGAAAACTTTAGTTCTCTTAAGGGAGTTGACGTTTGGATGAAGAATTAAGGAATTCATCGTTGAGTGAAGATTTATTCTTACTTAGGTTTGAAGACGGAGCATTGAGATTATTTCAAAGAGCTACACTTACCATTTGAGGGTATCCCGTATGCGCTTACCGAAACCAAAATGTCCCTCTTTTTGACAGAAAATAAATACTGTGAACTTCGTGGGTTATATTATCTCAAGTTGTAGGTTACAAACGAATAAAGTGCACACCTTCATTTTTATGAACAATACTGCACAGGTTACATAAGTTGAGTCTGTCAGAGATCTATCTGCGTCAACGACACAAAGATAAAATTTTTCTTTCAGCGTCGGAGCTACACTAATAACCTTTTTAACTGAAAACACTTCTTTACCTAGCTAGGAGGCAAGTTTATCTAAGAATTAAAGGAATAAACCTGAGTACATAAATGATGTGACCATTTTGGTTGTGTATTTTTTGAAGTAAACTTCCGTACATTCTTAAGATCGAATCGAATTTAACATTCTCCGACGTTTGTGTTACTTGTTCCAGTTTTGTGCTTTACCTAAACATCACTGCGTTTCAGAAGACCTCGTCGTTCGACTGGGGTTTTGACAGAAATAACCATTTCGCACTGATGTCTTGACAGAATGAATGCACGAGACGCAAAATTTCAAAATTTTCAAAGTATGGTTGTGTCACAACCCAGAAAGTAAACAAATGTACCTTGTTGAGTGTAACAAAAAATACAAAGAGAAACTGGAGAAAACCTTTTGTTGGTTATATCAGACAGTTTTTAAAAAAAGTGATCTAATTTTGATCACAAGAACTAAACCTATACATCTTTAAACAGCTTCGTAATTGGGAATTTTATTGTGATACTTAGTGCAGGTATTCACTGATGTTGAATTCTACCGATGTTCGAAATCCTGAATTTTGATGTCGCTCTATCAGTGAATGTGACGACCTTTGTCGAACTCGATAAAACTTGGGCTACTGTTCCCTAAAATAAGGAATTTCAATGTTCCGGAAATCTTTGTTTCCGATAGTGGTTGCAACTTTTTGAATTTCACTGCTGGAAAACAGTTCTTATCATGCTGGCATCAGCAAACCACAAGCAATGACAGAGATATCCGGCATCGAGCAAGTTCCACGTTCTTGAAATCCTGAGGATATATATGGGAAAGGAGAGCGTGAAGGTTATGCTCAGATGCACAAGCTAATCAACTTCAATGCAAAGTAAGTTTGTGGTTGTATCGTTTGCAGTCCATTGATGGTAGTTCAGGGTTTTTATAATTATGAAGTGGCCCTAAAAGTTACTTTTTGGATTTTAACTAAAAGGCTTCGTTTCTGAATTTATTCAAACAAATCTACATTCTTAAGGTTTAAACACACCAAAACTACCGTTCATACATTGGTTCCTTACATAATTCTCACTGGTTAGTCAGTGGCTTCTCATATGCCTATCAAGCAAACCATTGAAGAGACCAGGAATTCTTGTGATTTAGTCCGTCATGAGCTGAAAAGTTTGTCAAGTGAATGAGCGAGCATGGCAGACCCAAGCCTTCTATTTGTACTATAATGAAAGTGTATTTTATAACATCGTCCTGTCTACAGAAAGATTAGATCTTTACTACGTTTCTGTGTATATTTACTGCCACTATATAAGTTCCACTAAAATGGACTTGATTTGGGGAATCATGGATCCATACTACCTATCTGATATAACTATTGGGCTGCAGAATATGAAGCTGATATAATGCGCTCTAGTTAGCGTTTTATTCTGCACACTCCTATCGTGGCTACCGTAAAAGTTGGACAGTGTTACATAAAACAATCAGAGCTTATTGTTGATAGATCTTGAGATTCAAGTCAAGATTTTGTCCTGTTGCTGAAATCAGTCTGTACCGAAAAACAGAGAGTGAGCATCTCAAGAATCTCCAAGGCGATTCGGAATGGCGAATTCATGATCAGCAGTTTCATGAGTTTGCGTGTAGGACGAAGTCCCGCAAGATGTTTTATTCCTGTGGTCACGCGCTGGCTGGTTTGTCGGGTGACAGCTTCACGGATGGAAGGTTCACGATTAGTGTTCGGCAGTGCTAAATTGTAGCCATGGAAAGTCGACGAAAACGATCACCGTCGTAATCGTGTCACCACAGCAGGATGTTTGTTGTTGAAAGACAGGTATCGAGTATAGGCTTCATTGATATCAGGCTGTGTTTGTAGATCATTACCTTGGTGTGTGCGCTATGTGCCTTTTGTCACTGGGCACAAGTCTCCCTCAAAATGATCATTTCATCCTAAGATGCTGACAGCTAACGAAATCACGTGCACGACTCATCCGTTGTATTATGTAAGCCTTGTTGTGATAACCATGAAAAATAAACTTCCATCAGGAAGACTGGTAGTAATACATTTGTTAACAAGCGGTATTTTCAGTTGTTTTGGTAAATAAATAGCTCGTCGAGTTATGGATGGTATGGATGAATCCATTGCTGGCGACATAGTTTTACTCAGGTTTTCTCTGAAACAGACGAGCACACATTGGGCTAACTCCACCTAAAAAAGCCTCTGTACTAAAGGTATGGCCATTCAGCCACTGAAGATCATAAGTTCGATGACACCGTCAAACAACCAAACGAATGAACGTATCTAGAGAAAATCACAGGAGTTTTGCGTTTTGGTAACAGAATAATGACAAACTCGTCTGATTGAGTGGCCCATGTTTGTCTTTTCTGTGACAACATGAAAGAGTGATATTCCTACTCTACCGTGCAGTTAATGTGCTTTGTTCGAATAAAATTCGAATTTATAACAAACAAACACCAGAGGCAAACATACGGTTACATACAACGTTGACTAAGGGGCAGAAACACATTTCTACACACTGTCACAAAGCTAGACCATCAACTTTGTGTACTGCGCATTTTTATCGACGAAAACTACATCAGTACTGTAAAAATTAAATCTAATGACAAGGCTGCTTTAAGAAAGGCTTATATTTAAAGATTATGAATTCCCCAAAGACCACACTTCATTGGTATTGCAATTTTGCGACTGAAAAAACTTAATTTGAATTTCAACTCCAAAAAGCTCTGCATATGAATTTCATCCTCTCTGGGAATGATCGGTTGTACCTATTCTGTAGAAGCTTCACTTTCCGATTAAGTTGTCACTGGAATGTATCGGATTTACATAGCGGACGAAGCAAATAGCCATGGTTCCTATATTTTTATAAGAGACGAATACTGCGTAACATTTTACAAAGCAGGGTAACTGCTACTGCCGGTTTGTCAAGTCAAAACCGATCAACTTTTACTGCACATTTCAAGAGGCTCCGTGCAGTCTTTTGTAGGGGTAATTCTCCCTCGCAGGTATCGTTTCATTTTTCTTCATGCACTTTCAGTATTTTGGCTTTCAAATGTCCTATAAAGCGCAATCAACTTAGCGTAACGATGCTATTGTAGTTCTGTGTGTCAGCTGCACCAATTACTTTGGTTCTTTTTATTTTATTGCATCCATATCTAAATAGTTAGACTGGGAGTGAACCTGATCAATGATTCGAAATGTTTCAGCTTCAAAGATTGACTGTTTTGTAAACGAACAGCGAAAGGGATTGAAATGAGTTTAAGATTACTGATACCCCCCTAGGAGCATTAGTTTTCAATGAGTTGGCGAACGGTGTAAGTCATGGTCTCCACTAAAAATACTTGCCTGTTCATCGGAATTGCGATGGTTTTCGGAATTCAGTAAATTCAACTCACATTGGACGTTAGTTTTTTTTGAAAAGCCAGAAGACAATGTGAAAAAATTTCGTTCTTAGCTAAAGATCGATGCCGAGTTTTAAGATGGCGATTGCTCCTAAAACAAGCATTTAGGCGGACTAACTCCTCTCTCGATCTCGTATCAACAAAGTAGAATGTACATTATGTACTAGAAGTGTCTTCCGTGTGAACGGCGAGCACCTTTGAATCGCCGATATCCATTGCTTAGTTCAAAATTGCTTTTCGGTCTCATGGAGGTGTTGCTGTTAGACACATGGCTAATTCAAGAACGGTTGTTAATCGTGGAATACTCACTAAATTTGGGTTCTATTTTGACTCAGTTCACTCGGTAAGATATGAAATTGTTTAGGTATAGGCTTTTGTAGCAAGGCTGGTTTATTGTCCATATTGCTAGGAGACGCGAATCCTGAGTGGCATCATCTGTCACAATCCGTGATTATGACTTTGGAAAACAGGTCCGTCGAATACGACCGAAATTCTTTGGAGGGATGTGGTTTATCTCGGGTACAAAGTAATTGCAGAAAAAATTTTTTGCTGCTCCCTTTGTTTTTGTCCTTGATTCAAATTTATTTTCGGAAGAGATTTTCGAGTTGAAGTCACAGGCATCGATAATTGACCATCTATTGGCATTACCAAGAAGATTCGAATTATTGCCGATAGTCGCAACTAAGTGTGCAACCGTAAGTGTTGGCCTGATCAACTCTTTACAGAACCCCCGATGGTCACACAATAGTGATGTGTTTTTATTTCTTTGGTGTGGCCAGGGTCCTTCGAGAAAATACACAGGAATACTGCGGAGAAACACTTATACCATGCGATCGTACATTTTCATGAAGGGGAAGTCTCATTCACTAAGGAATTGCAAAGATTGCTTGAATGTTTGTCCAGTAAAGTAAGTTCCTTTCAATATCTACAAAACTTGTACCTGACGTAGAAATTTTCCTTGGTTCATTCAGTAAGGAAAGATAATTTGAAAGATATCATTTTACATTATTGATAATTCACAGCTAACCCGAGGTTGTTGAGGCACTAGTCACTAAAACTTCAGCAAAGGTCTGTTGACCTTTCAGCATTGACGGAGATCACTATCCTTCTTCTGTAGTCAGGTGGGAGATGGGGGTAAAAGGTAGAGCTGGATCGGCTTCTACTCTCTAAGAAGGCACATGATTTGAGTTCGGTAGTTACATTCGCTCACCCTGACAGTACAGGGAGGAACATTACTTAAAGTGAATGCATTGAACCGACGAATTAACACTCAACAATGAATCGTGGTTCTAGTGGCCCCGTTAACTAAAACACTCTCAAGGAACTAGCTAAACCAGCCATTAACAGGAATCCCAGCAACGCAAATTTGTGTTCTGTGCATATTTTTTATCAATTATGCCCAGTTACTTATGCTGCTTTCTGTTACAGCACTACAAATTGTCCTTATGCCCAGTATGCTGCTTTCTGTTACAGCACTACAAATTGTCCTATTTTACAGCTTAGATTCACGGAAAATTATAAATCTTCTCCAAGCAAAGCGCTTCGCGTCCACCACAACCAACTTTGTAAGAATAGACTATTTGATGTTTAGTTTTTTGCTTGGGAATAATCAGCATCGAGCAACAGTTCCCTCTTTACACGATTCCAACGCTGAATGTTTCTGTGATGGGCTACATACTAGCCCACACTTCACACTACGTTTACTGATGATCGTCAAGATTGTTTGGAATGGGAACATCCCTAACATCTTATCTGAGTGATTTTTCCTCTGGCGCCCACTTGGTTTCTCGCAAAGTGATCTCATTGATGATCTCACCGGGTGACATGGATAACAACTACTGGTGCTGGATTCAAGCAGGCGACTGATGAGTGTGACATTAGGGTTATAGTTTCACTTTATTCCAAAATGCACCTTGGAGTAGAACAACGTTAGGCTGATAGCTGTCTAATGCCCCATCTCCTGAGTGACCCGCTTGGACAACGGGATGGGGACTTTGAACGTTCATCAAGTGTATGGGCTTACAGTGTGAATACGGCTAAATCACTGTATTTTCCATCCATACGACAGTTTTTTGACAGAAATATTAAAACCACCCTAGGAGAAGGTCACTTGGTTTCAAATGAATGGCTCTGCACCAATCAAACTGCAGTAAACAGCCGCCCACTATGCTACTGTAGGGGAAATGCTACAAACTGATACGTACAGGGGGGTTGGTGGAGTAGACTCAGAAAGCATTTGCATTTGCACCTCTCTCATGTAAACAGCCTTCCTACCGTTCCGGTGTATTTTTATGATGGTCCTAAATCAACAAGGATGAGTACCCGTCTCAAGTTTCAATTTTCTTATAGTGATTAAGAACTGAATATCTTTGGATATATAAGGAGTGAACTGCAGATGACCAACCATAGAGGCCATCGTGTTACAATGAGTCGATCAGCGCACAGTAAACACATCTGAAATACAAAACTAAAAAGGCGAACGCGAACTATGTGATTTGTTCGACAAAAGACTCGAATGACAGATCAGTAACTGTCCTAATTCCTTCGAACTATCAGACCGCCTATTAGGACTGCCCGGTCATTTAGTGACATGGCCGCATTAAACACGCCGGATTACTGTTTGATTAGTCGTAGGGAGGTTACGGACCTTGTGAATTCTGCATTCACACCACTCCTCCCCTTTTCGGAGAAGACTATTCAAACGAGTGATATGGATGTGAATTCTGCAAATTTCGCATCCAGTTACGATTGACACAAGTTTTCACGATTTGGTGGCGATAGCGTTAGTATCTAGTGGAAGTAGCACAACTTGATTCAAACGAGACACTTTGGCCGCGGTAAACAGTCCACTGGTTCAGTAGATTTCAGCACTGGGTTGGAAATTAAAGCACGTATTTTGAAAGAAGGACCTAAAGCGGACTACAAGATATTTCGTTTTGGAGTTCAACTAAAGGTGACCGAGCGGTATCTATCTTATTTCTCTCGACATTCCGACCAGCTTGATATACTTCACCTGGAAACCAGACGAGCATCAAAGTCCATTGCTACCAACAGCTGTTTCTTGCAGTTGAAATGCGAAACAGTCCAATTCGACTCAGTCGTATGCGGTTTGCGGTCGGAGCCGTTTGTATCGAGCATCAAGATTTTGGACAGCGTCGAAGATAATGAAGGTAGGTTAATGAACAAACAACTTCCAACTTTCTTGACAAAGATACTAGTGCTTAAGCTAGTAAAAATTAATAGAATACACTAGCTGGTATATAATATTTTAAGTGTTCTCTCACTTTACTATTTCTCCAGATTTTCTTACGGATTGCCTCTTTATAATCTGCTGAAAGAAAAACAAACATCCACCTATAGTTGTGCGAAATTCCATTTGTTAATCTTGCGAATGTGATATGAGGCTAAGGGGCCTGATGCTAATTTCGTAAGTTTGTAAGTCCCAGCTACCATTAAGTGAACTGGTCAAAAGACAAGTAAAACTAAATCTAGACTCTTGGAAATTTCTTAACAATTTTATTCCACCAACACGCGAGTCGCTAAAAGATTCCCATAATGTGATATGAATAGAAAATGCCAGATAACCACTTGAATTCAGAAATTCATCTTCTGTCCGGTACACAATATGCATAATAGCATATATAACATTATTGTTAAACAATTACAGTAGTAGAGCGGGGGAAATTCTGCGCTCTAGTCAGGACAGAGTTCACCTTACACTCAACTAGTCTGAATTGTGCGGGAGATATGGCCTGGTATGTGATAGAGACAGACGGGTGACGAACTACGAAACACTCCAGCTGAAGGCATAGGACCGATCTGGTGTAAATAGTCGGATGGTAACAACACTGAGAAACGCGAGACCACGCAACCTGCCCACTTTGGGGAGGCTTTGTGACACCTCTTACACGGTCCTGAATGCAGTGCCCCGCGGCTCGTGTCAATTAGGTGGACTAAAATGAAGCTGTGGAGTATCTCTCTACCCACTCACACAAGGGACGGTGATCTCTAGTACATAGGTTTGCTAGTCCACTTTAATTAACTTTGACCCCATATATGATTTGCACTGGCCACAACACGAAAAGTTTGGAATATGTGTCTGCTTATCATTCCTTCTTGCAAAGTGCTACTCTAGTTGCTTCGCATAGATGTTTGCCAATTTTCTTACCATCGAATTATATGAGCAGGAAAAAACTGCCGGTTTCGCTATCTCTGGGGGATTTTGAGTGTGTCAAACGCAATTCAAATTTAAACTTTAGAACAGTTTAACTCTCCATAATCGGCAACATCCATTTTTGCCTGGCGTTATTTCTACCTACCAGTTTCATCACCACGATGTAGCTTTTTCCAAACAGACAAAATTAGTCATTCTTGTAAAAGTGTTCTTGTAGGTAGGTCTGTGAGTCTCTGTCGTGCGATTAAAAATTAAAAATAATTAAGATAAGACATGAATGGGCGTCAATACAGTTTCCTGTTCAGCTATGGAACAAAAATGACCTTAGTAAGTCCCAAGAACTTTGGATTGCATAACCAGCTTCCTCCATTGAGTGCTTCGGAAATGTTAAAATTGAACTTGGTATTGTCTATGGATTTCAGCGTACTGTACTTTTGTTTGTATAGGAAGAGTCAAGAGTGAGGAACTGCACCAATTATCCAGCCCAGCTTCTCCGAAAATACACACAAAATTTTATGACTTGCAAGATGATCTAAGCGTTCAGAGGGATACACGTTCTCTCCGCAGTAGTGGCTAGTCCTTCGGAAATGTCAATATTAGTCACTCTGAGGAGAGTGGTCTGTAGGAAGAGAGAACTTATTTGCTGAGTGCTTCAACAACTAAGCCATTAAGCAAGCTTGCTTTTCGTCACATTTACGAAACAAACATTTTGAGGTATTATGATGGGTTTTTATTGTTGTCTGTCAACTGTCTGTCAGTTGGATCTTTCTATGACTCACATCCCAGACCAGAAAGTCGCATTGTCTGGCTAGCTAAATGACTGATATAATGTTAGAAATGGAGGGAGGACTGTGGGAATTAAAACGCGGAATAACCGAATTGAATATCTTTTATCCACAAGGTGCTCGATTTATGCAACAGGATCCAAATAAAGTTTGCCCCGAAAATCAAAAGTCATGACCATTGCACCCTCCGTTGTTCAGATGCGCACGGCAGCTCTACGTGTGGCTTGATTCCTGACTGTAGTATAAAAGTGCAACTGAAGTTGCTTTCATGGCTTGACTCAAGTGCATGGAATGCACTGACTGGGTCGTTTTCAGGTTGTGTAGATTCAGTTGGATTTCATGGAGGAAAACAAACATGTGATTTGTGCTACGTGATTTTGAGACGGTCACCTGGCTGTCTGACCTGTATATTTGACTGGAATTTCTGCAGAGACTTTTGTAGACGCAGTTTGTGCGGGATTTCGTTACGATAGAGTTATTAGCCCTTATAAGGCTCCCTTTGTAATGTTTTATCAATCCGGAAGAAGTTTTCAATTTCATAATCCCGAAGGATCCTTAAAATGGTATCCCAAGACCTATTCCTTCAGGTCGCTCCTACTGTGACCACCGGGTTTTCACCTCCCTATTTCACTGTTCTGGTCGATTTCTCCTTATTTGCTGAGCAGTGAACCCTGTATAATACTTACCCTGCTGTGATCTAACGCTGTGTCGTCACAGCTCATTTGCTCCATGGTTGTCATAGTTGCTAGACATGATTCAACGGTCCGACAGCTGCGCGTTTTATCATCGTGTGGATGAGGGAACCCGTCTGAATTTGTAGGTCTTCTGTGGATTCCCACCGAGAATCTACAGTTAATGATAATTAATATCCATCCGTTTGCTCCTAGTTTCCATCGTGAATTCCATGCTACTGAATTTTTCGTTCAAATATTTTAAGGTTTGTTGTCGTGTGACTAATTTGGTCGGAAATAGGTAATCACCATACCTCTCTCATTTATGATGTCCTTAAGCAACTGAACGAGCTGCACCAGGCCACCTCATGTTTCAGCTGGTACGATATTCGAGATATCTATATTGTGTGGACTAATGCACCAATCATACACGATAAATCCAGCTGAATTCCAGGCGCGTCTCTCGTCAAAACCAAATCAGTAAGCAAATGAGCGTACTACACTACTTCCACAAAGTTCTGGTTCAAGTATTACATGAGGTTGAAGGAGACTTGGGGACTTTACCTACCTGATGAACCCAACGAAGAGCAAAACCAGTCTTCGGTCGGCGAAGAGTTTTCAGCAACATTATGACTAGTGCCAACCGCTTACGTATTTGGATATTTTGCAAGTCGAACCAACAGAATAGTCCACCATTGGGCATATGGAAGAGCTTGTTTTGTGTATGTTTGGCAACCCTTAGAATCCTCTGGGCATATTGGATTCAGACACAAGAGAATAACATTGTGATTGACCGAGCTCGGGTTTTGCTTATTGTGGGTGTTCATAGATACGGATTATGTTTTTTGAGAGTTGCATTTTATTTCCAAGATTCGACTAAAGATTCAGTGTTATATTTTCAAGCACCGCTTTCGTAGTCCTTCAGACCCACGACAAATGTTACTTTGCCATTGTCCGCTTTGTCGAAGTGGATCACTTGTCCTTTTTCAGTAAGTTCAGTACACTTATTTTCTTTCAAGATGGATTGCTTCGGATTCGTCCATTTTTGAGGATATTGCAGATACGCAATCTTTCTCCTTCTGATTTTTCTACTGAAAGCCTCTCAAATGCAGGCTCTACAGTCGGAATTATTTTATAGGCGTTAACTGTTCTGGGTTTTAGTTCGAACTGTGGCCTTTTTAATGACTGCATCTTACTGGAAGATAGATATTTGTTGGACAGGCTGCACTGAAGCTTTCTTGAGTCCACTACTTCAGGCAAAATCGAATTATCATAACCTCTCTTGGGAGCATCCGCTTTCTGCTTAAGTATGTCAGATTTGTCTTCCTCTCTGAGCTTGCATTTTTCCAGCAGCTCCTCTGCTCTTTTCATACTTCGAGCTCTGCTTCCGACCAACACATTTACTGACAAATAGAATCTTAGTAGTCGTACACAAACCTGATTTAGAGACGCCGTGACTGTATGTTAACGGAGCACTTGTGGATATTCTGAGGCAAGCATAACCAAGATGTAGTCCTGGCATCTTTTCTGACAGCAAAGTGCTATCTGCCGGTTTGACAAAGAGTGTTTAGGGATGGTGTTTTCCAGACATCACTGGATGAAGCTAAGAAAACTGATCCCATTCGCATATTTCTTTGACAAATTAAATCGACTGTTGACAGGGCTACGCTTCACTCGTATAAGGTTGATTGTGGAAATCCCTGATAAAGGTTGCTCACGAAAACTAACGTCGAATTATAACACCTTATTCCACCACGCCGCGTGCTTTAGCGTGACTGAATTTGGAAGGAGAAGTCCTATTTTTGCTTATCCTTTTATTAAAAATATTGAATAAATAAATAATTATCACTCCCTTCTTTGTGTTCTGACCCAGATACACTGTGTTTTTTTTGCGATATGCATCAACAGAGTTAGCTTGCGTATTTGTGTTGTATTCCGGTAAATTTATTCTATGGTAAAGTCCGTTATGAAAGTTCATTGGTTTTACGATAATTTACTTTGGTCCTAGATCGGTGGATTCCGCACCATATTTCTGATTTGGACAAGTGTCAACACCTATTAACGAAGTACCAGCCAGAACTGCAAACTGACCACCCGGCAAGTTTACCGGTTTACACTTCAAATGATCGTGGAGAAAGAATTCATTATATTGGCATAAGAATTATGGTGATGTGCAACTGCCAATTTTTCATTATTATTGTTAGATATCTTTAACATACCTAGTTTACCGAGACTAAATTAGTTGATATGTGCACTCAGGGCCTTGATACAGCACAGCGTCTGCATATATTGGTTCAATATCCATTTTAGTGACCGATTCTTCAATCCTAAATGACATAAAAGAAACACAATTGAAGTAATTTGGCTGACATTCTGAGCACAAGTGATATCCTGTCCCCACAGAGACACGAGGAGGATAGCTTGGCTACCAGTCTGTTTTCCGTTTTCCGAGAAACTTGTAGTCTGCGCAGATGAGATAGCATCACATCATCTTATTCAGACGGGATGTCTTTCAATTCGGTTTCCTATATGGTCTATGAACATAACAGTCAAATATGAAACTGTCTGAATGTTAACACTTTGAAAAACCCAACTCCCAAACCAGTGTATTAAAAGATTTTTTTCTATTCTGTGTCATAGATGCTTTCGTAACTTGAAAGAAACTCTTCTAGCGATAATAGGGGAAATGTCGGCTTCACTGTTGCCACACTCACAGATGCCAGGGTACGATCAGAGATATTTGGAAGATCTAGACAAATAGACTGGAGCAGTCTTGGTAGGTCATGTCCAAGCGATGGCAGGAAATAAGTTCGTTTGAGCATCTTTTCTGTGTATCCTACTGTACCCTATAATAAGGCTTAATATATTCTAGCATTTCGTTGAAAGAAAACCGTAGCATTTAGTGTCTCATAAAAATCATGGTATTGTTTTGTTATATGTCCTTCTCTCCAGACGATGCCATTTAGTCGATAGGGTTATAGACTGGGCAGAGAGCAATCACGTCATCAAGGAGAGGATACAGATATAGTGATTCTCAATTGAGCTCGCGGCTAAATATTGCAGAGCGTTTAATGGGCATTGGCTACAATCATGGGGAACATTCAGCAAGGGGGTTGTGCTTTTTCTTACACGAAACAAGGTGTTTTTATGTAAATTTAATAAATGTAACCATTTCCATTTATCAAAAGATCTGTGACCGAATAAAAAGCTAAATATCGGACTTAAATCAGTTGAATTAAATACGATTTTTCACTGTTGTTCTCCCTATTGTAGGGTTTTCATGACGAAGTATACAAGAAAAGACGACACGAGATTGCTCAGTTTGCGTTCAACTATAAGTAGTAAGTTTGTGCAGGTCGTTCATTGCATTCGAATTCTGTTCTTTAGTCGTAGACTTTTACAATGTTGTGTGAAGCGTATGCTTGAAGCATCTGAGCACCAGTTTTTTTACATCATCTCTTCCAGCGGTGAACTCATCCCTGTGATTGACTATACGGAACTAGAAATTGATACTTGGTCAGTTTCCTTCCTTTTACTTTATGCCTAAAATTTTGTTTATTTTGTCCCAGGCTGTAAAACTAGGTGATACAAAACATATCCGGGAACCGTGTTACTGTTTTTCACTATTAGTGATGCATCCAAAGGTAGAAAGTCTCTATGGTGTCTCAAAGTTTGTGACTTTAGGGGAATCAAAAGAAACTGGTTTGTTCAGATCCGGAAAAACTTTGTGCAGCTCAAAAATGGTTCGACTAGTTTGAGAAGAGTGACAAGCAAGCAAAGTGATGGGGTAGAATGGTGCAAAATAATATAAGCGCTCTTTCTGAAAGTATAAGTCATTCACAGCGGAGTTGAGTTTGTGGATGATGTTCCTCAAAATAACATTTCCATTTATTCTGTCCTCAGTCAGTTCCTATCAATCCAAGGTAGAGTCCGCTTTCGCTTCCTGAGATTTGGAAATCCACATTTGCACATCATTTTTCCACATTCCGATAGCCTGCTTAAAAATCCCGCCTGACCAACGCGAGAGAATGAAATAATTTTATTCTGAATGTGGCCGTACAACAAATGGTGCTGCTCACTGTATGAATGAACTTGTCATCCATTGTATTTTAACCATTAACCTCATTATCGATAGCATGACATCAGTGTTCAACATCAATGACTTATTTAAAGGCCTTATTGTGAAGAAAGGAATAAAGGTGGATTGGGAAGGGACTCAGCGCTAGCCTATTACAATCCGGGGTGCCTACAACTCCAGACACTCATTCAGTCAATCTAAACAGAAACTGACGAGAAGAATGCCGATGACATCGGATCGCAGCCATAGATCATTGCGTCTCTAACCAGGCGCAGCGTTGATCACGCACTCTCAATCCTAGAAGGCGAGTAACACCGATGGCATACAAAGGTCTCTTAATCGCTTTCATAATCCTCTTCCACCTCTCTGCCTTCACCATTCCAAACTGGGCATGGAAAACAGCACTCAATTCGGCGAACAATGGTTCGGCATCCGCAACACATTTTCCAACTAACGCAGCTTCTGGTGGTAGACACATCCTCTAATGGAAGTCCCCGTTGTACAACTCGCTTTCTAATAACCTTGTTACAGGTTCTCCGACACCAACGCACACGAGCTACGATCCTGGGACAACGATTGTCAAGCATATGAAAGCGTCCCAATTTCGTTGCTCGAACGGGCTAAGTCTCACGGTCATACAATAATATAGACGGTAATGTATCATGACATACATGTGCCTTGAGATTCAGCGATATGTCCATTTGACGTAATATGTGTCTCAAATTAGCAAACGCCATGCAGATTCGTGCAGTGACCCCATTTGTCACGCTACAAGCAGAAGTAATACAACTTCCAAGTTATGTAAACGCTCTCCCTAGATGGTAATTGGAGTATTCAGTGACTGTATGACCAACAGCATAAACTTACATTTTGTGAGTGCAAAGTGCATACCAAAGGATGGGATGACTTCGAATAGTTCATCCAAAAACACGCGCGTCTTCTTCTCTTCGGAGAAAAGAGCGATGTCATCTGCATATTCCAGATCGACAAGGTTTTTACCACATGCTATTTTAACACCGGTGTTTTGAAGACCTTTCAGCGTCCTGCCATTGATCTCGACGGAGATACGGTCATTTGGGCGTAAGCATACACGAAACAGACATCTATCAAATTTTGTGAGACTCCTTCATATACTTTGCCAGACGAACCGTACACAGGAGGATACAAACGGGCATCCAGTCAGGCAAGGATACTTCCATCCGGTGACTTAGGACGACACCAACCACTGAGCGTCCTGCCGCAGCAGCCTCTGGGTCACCAGAGTTGGGCAGCCGTATGCAAGTGGAAACTGATGGGATGGCTACCTCAACAACTGTGCTTGCATCTTGAATTCTTGATTACGAGACACAGCACACAACACACACATCAATGCCAAGCAAGTCCAGTGTGTGAGCAAGAGCAGCTTGTTGTGCTGCTTGCTTCAGAGTGAGCACAATAAACGCGGCCAGATAGACTGGTTCCCGAGGCTTGAAGATTGATTTCTAGATACTCGAGGATGTCGGTGCCGTGTGATGAGTAGATTTTGCACGCAAAACCAATGCAAGACGAACGGAGTCATCAGTTCTAATTCCACAGCCCTCAAGGGGACAGTTGGTAATGGAATGGTGACAGGGGAAATAAAGATTATTCGAAAGAGAATCAAAGGAGGCGTCTGCAATAGCCTTTTTTTGCCTACCCGCCCTGTTGTACGTAGCTAGTAGTGCGACCCGGCTAATGGCACGACCCAACGGCCAATGTGGTATGAGTTTATTGTTAAACTTAGGTGTCATGGTTTTACACCAGCTGGGATGCTGTCAGGGCGCTCGCACCTAGACAAGAAGACGACCAATGTCGTTAACTAAAGCCTTTGGCTGAAAAGTCTAACTGCAAGACAGCGGTGTTGCCTGAAAATTCAGATGTATTACCATCTCCAGAGAACGCGTCACCACATGGTTCAACTCCTTACCTGGAGGGACGAGTGGCTACCATAAACATAATTCCGCTAGTAAACCAACTGCGTCTCTTTGGCACAGTTGAAAGAACTCCAATATAGTTAGAGCTTGAGAACGTGAATCTTGCTCCCTATATTGAGTTCAGTAGTGTCCTGCTAAGTGAATACTCCCAGAGGTGTGCTTTTTGTAATAACTGGTGAACACCAAATAAAGACAGATTGTTTATGCCCTGACAAAAATGTCCACGGATTTCTCTAGGGGACTGTTAATGAAAATGTGTTTGAGTAATCTGCGTCTATAGTAAAAATTTAACCGTATTCCATTTGTCCCACTTAACAGGAAGCGTACGTATATCGCCTTGAAGGAGAGACACGAAGGGCACGCATGCCAGGAATACACAGATGGATTTCGAATATTAGAGCAAAACGGTTTATTCAGCCCGGATCTTATTCCAAGTGTCAGGGCCGTGTCTGACTTTCTAAAAAGTACGTTCCTTTTACGAAACAAGCGAGTAAAGTTTTTGTGCATTATTTCAAAAATGTTGAAGGCTCACATACTAATAATGACAATATTAAGAAGATTGCTCCAAATGCATTCTAAGGTAGTTATGTGAACTAAACAGCGGACGCTGTTTCAACAGTCCAGGGCATTCAGAAAATGACGAATAAATAACAGCTATCGACACATACGCTTATTTGCATATCAGCTGGGTTTTCACGAGAGACTCAGTTGAATCTCTCGTTAATGGTATTCTTCAGTTGCATGTGCTATGTCAAGTCCACTCCGTGTTTCAGTTGGCTTGACGTTTTAGATATCGCAGTATATCTTCATAAACGAAACTACCCACAACGTTACTGAAAACTCTTGAAAAGCCTCGGTGTGTTGTTTCCTCTAAGCGAATATACTGCGACATCTCGAAAGTCGTATCAACCGAAATATGAGGCGGCCTTTGTGCAGCAAATTTAGTTGAAAAATATAATAAAACGAGAGCTTCAATAGAATTTGCCGTAAAAACGTAGTTGATATGCAAATGAGTGTATTTGTTGAATGCTAATCAAATTCGAAGTTGACCGAGCAAATTATGCGACAGCTACCTCACGATCAATCAGTAGTGTCAGAGTTATTAGGTGCTTTTCATAAAATCTAAGTGCACGCAGAGAAGGACGAATTAATCCATTCACTCCCACACCGACGATATCACCGCGAGTAACGTCGAAAACCTTGAAAACCAATTACCAAGCTCGGAAAAGTAATGAACAACCTTTGTTCGTTGCTCACGTCACCGGATATTTGGGAGAAGCGCCTGAAAACTGGACAGCGTCGGTTAAAGTGCATGATGGGCGTAGTTGACCATGAAGCTATCAAGAGTCTACAAAAGATTATAATGAAATAAGTTCCACAGTAATCTGTCGGATCTGATAATCTTCAGGTTGTGAGTTGGTTGGTTGAATGGGAATACCTTATTTCCTCAAATCCCACACGGTTCAAATACTTAGATTCATGATTATATCGGGTAGCCGTTTGTTCTTGTACACAACGACTACGGAATACGAAAGTAGCACCAAAAATCCGAGTTTCGATTTTTGTTGTAAAGTGGCAAAATAATGGTATTGAGATAAAAAAAAATACAGCACTTCGCGATATGACGTCTCATAATCCTTCTAGTACTCCTTCCGGTCTCTAGGAAAAGCTGCCGCGAAATTTGTCCCTAGAAACTGTAACGTCCCATTTGAATTTTTTTTATACCAGCGCTTATAAAGGGCAGAATTACCTACCTAATTTGGGTTCAAGAACATAAGACTGAAGGAAACTAGGAGTAAGCGCTTAATTGATGAGCCTCACGAAGGCGAAGCCGGTCGTGGACTATCAAAGAGTCTTCAGCAACCTTCTGAAAGTTCCACAGTAATCTGTCGGATCTGATAATCTTCAGGTTGTGAGTTGGTTGGTTGAATGGGAATACCTTATTTCCTCAAATCCCACACGGTTCAAATACTTAGATTCATGATTATATCGGGTAGCCGTTTGTTCTTGTACACAACGACTACGGAATACGAAAGTAGCACCAAAAATCCGAGTTTCGATTTTTGTTGTAAAGTGGCAAAATAATGGTATTGAGATAAAAAAAAATACAGCACTTCGCGATATGACGTCTCATAATCCTTCTAGTACTCCTTCCGGTCTCTAGGAAAAGCTGCCGCGAAATTTGTCCCTAGAAACTGTAACGTCCCATTTGAATTTTTTTTATACCAGCGCTTATAAAGGGCAGAATGCCTAGTAATAAATGTCACCAGTATACTTTTAGCGCAACGTAACTCTAAGTTCACAACCTGGAGCTCGCAACGGATGCATTTGGTAAGAACATTAATGACTGCAGTTTACTGGTTTTTAGTGGACACTAGTATGTACCCCTGCTGAAAGTGACTGGCAACCCAAGCACAACTTAGCCACACCGAAAATCTCAAGTCAAAGTAGGGAGATGAGTAACATTTTGTTAGTTTGTGCTAGCAAATTGTGTGAAGGAGTTTTTGCTGCCGAAATATGTGCTTGTATGCTTTCTTTACTCACTGCCATCACCCGAATACCCCATTTATTTTTTAAGCACAACGTGCCATACGACAAAATCCTTACCATAATTGGTACGTTTCTGGTAGCACTGTTGGTTGCACCCTTCAACTGCCTTTTAGGGACATCTGGATTTCAATTGCGCCCAGTCGCTGGCCTTGTATCGTCAAGGGACTTTCTGGCAAATTTTGCTTTTCGAGTGTTTCCCTGTACACAGTATGTGAGACATCACAGTCAACCACAACACACCCCCGAACCGTGAGCTAACAAATATTTTTACCATATTTTCCTATACGTTCTTCAAGTTCTGACGCTTATTAGCTATCCAGACTAGTATTTAGCTAACTCACCAAGGCACTTTTTTCGCTTGAGATGCTTTTGCCACACTATGAATACAGGGCCTAGCAACGATATATATAGCGTAGCCCTGTTTACAGCTGGTATTCTTTTGGTTGGTTTATTAAAAACATGGTTCTAGTAATATGTAATTTGAACGAATGTAGATTTTTAGATTCATTGGCTTCTAAACCACGAAACTTATACTTCCTCTAGCTTACCGGTGGCCCTATAAAAGTCATAATGTGTGGTTGGCAATCGGAGCTGTACTGGTTGTTTGTACTGGTTGCTTGTGGTGAAACGATTACAAGAGGCTTGCATGTGGTCGGCTTATGCTGGTCACGGGAGCTAATCTTAGAATTAACAAATTCAACGAATGGACTAACAATAGCTATCACCAGTCTAAGAATGAGAGTAAAGCTGTGATAGCGATCAATGTACCGCATTGGGTCATCTCAGCGTATGTTACTTTGAAACTGCGTGCTGACAAGCACAATACTTATTCCAGAAATTCAGATCTGCACGTACCTAGGCATAAAATTTTTGATACAGCATGTGACAGTCCAAAATCATTAGATCCTATTTCGTAGCACAACCTTGCAATTGGGAGAAAACGAGGAATTACACGTAACAACAACAAGCATTAACATCCTGTCACTACGGACGAAAATAAATGCGCCGATAATTGTCCTCTCAGGCTAGGACAGTAGTTTGTTTGTTTTCACCAACGTAACTAACTATGGGAATAAGCCACCATGGCAAAAAGTGAGGAGCAGGATAAAGGCTGATCGCCACTAAAACCTTTTTAGTGCTTCGCCATATTTTGCCTGCATATCACAGACTTCAACACTGAGAACTCTGATTTTGATGACCAGGCTTCGAATCCTTGCACAAGCTCCTTTTAATTGGCTTTGGTACAGAGTTAAAAATCGCCTACAGATGTTGTATTATTTAGAAAAGGCGTCAAAAACGCTGCTTCTGATGCTGAAGATAGAGGTACTTAATTAGCAAGACAAAATAGATCCAAGGGATATTCACAATAAAAACAAAGAAAATTAAGAACCCCTGGACTCTGTATATTGTTGAGCTGTATTCCAATGAGTTCAAGTGTAATTTCGCCATCAGGTGAACTGATTGTAATTAATGTATATATTCTGATGACATTCGTCGACCAATCTTTACTGTGCAGTCGAGAGCTGGGCAGCGTTCGGTTAATTTAATCTAAAGCGTTTCATTTTGGCCTTAATTTGCAAGCACAGGCTGCCTAACGCTTCAAGAGACAGTGTCTTTCTGAAGGTTTTTTGGGCAAGAAAATTTCACAGGAAATGCTAATTCCTCCCACTTGTCACGAATGCACCGTTGCTGTAAAATCTACACAAGCGATAATGGAATACACTGACGGGTTGTAAAGTATGAGGACGCCATATCAAGTTTGAGGATAACCGTAATCAGAACAGATAGCTTTATTTTTATTATTCTTCACAGATTAACAATTTCGAAGCCCTAGCCAGTAACTTTGGAAATTCATTATTAGCATCTCATTTGTTTTTCTTCCAGTGACCTAATCCATGAATTCTTGGGCCATATCCCACTGTTAACCAACCGGAAATTTGCCGATTTTTCCCAAATGCTTGGTCTCGCCTCACTCTCTGCCTCGGATGAAGCAATAAAGAAAATCACTACAGTGAGTCTCATAAAAATTTATCGTGCCATGAAATTCCGATTAATCTAGCACTTCGGAAGTCCAACCTCTATTTTAATTTTCTAGTTATGAATCTATAATTTTGATCGAGTGGAATTTCTCCTAAATAGTGCACTTTAAAATCGGCACTCAACTTGGAACAGTAAGAGTGGTAGTAAGCCGCTTAAACACAACTGGGGAAATTAATGCTAAATGTAATTTATTCCTTGCAAATCGCCAGCCCCTACTTTGAGGAAACCAATTTTGTAGCCGAAGAACAGCTTACAAAAATAAACAGATACCTTTGTCACCGTAATACAGCATGCTAGATTCTGACACATGTAAACAACGTTTTAATTAATTGTAAAACCATTTTATGATCATCGGGTTGTTCGCTGATCTTGGTAATTCGATTGCAAATGTTGCATCACCAATTGAGATTGCTTATCAGTGCATTGTCAGTGAGCACAAAAGAGTGTGCAGTCGAGTCGGTGTTTGCGTTGAACTTATCAATTCACTGATGATGGCACCACAATTAGTGACGAAACGTTGGCACTCATATCAACGAACAAACCAACGACCATCCACGCCACGTGAGAAACCACTATGGCAAACTACCTTGCGTTGAAGTAAAAACAAATATTAATGAATAAGTACACAAAAACGCACGGTCAAACAATAGTCATAACATACTGCGGCAAACGAAGAACACAGCGGCCAAAAACAGAAATGACCGTTCTTACTGGTGTAACGGTGATACTACTGATGGAGGAGGCATGCGAGTAGCATGCTTTCTCGTAAATCCGCTTTGTGTCTCTTGAAAAGTGAGATCCATTGCGGAATTTGTGCAATCGCTTCGTATCATTTGCTTGGATTTGAGCAACAGTCAATGAGTATCCAGGAAAGCTGAGGAAGACGCGTTAAAAGAGAAGAGGGATATTCAGTTTTTGTAAACGAGATGCATATGAGAGTTTTGCTTCCCTGTCCAATAATCTGTAACTGTTCAGTTGGCATTTTCTTTTCCCTGGTAGTAGCTGCGTAGAGAACACCCAGAAAGTGGCCAGACCATGAAACAATTTCCATAAAACACCAACGACATGGTGTGTGCCACGGAGTTTCTGGTGGTACCCTATGCTGTGCCACGGAATTTATTGCCAGCGAAATCCTGAACGCAAAAAGGGTGATGAAGCTGCGCCCTACATTTACACTACCGTGTTGGGGAGTTTGCCCATTTTTATTTGACCTTCACCTGAATTTCCGTACTGAAAATTTTCGGAAAAGCAGGCTGTATCCGTTGAATGAGCATATTGCTACTAACAGCCATAAGGCACACATTCTTTCATTTCTTTCGGTGTGCTACGCAGTCTGTGAATTGTGAACCTATTTGCATCATCTTTGCCACTCTGTAGAGCTTGTTGAGCGACCATTACTAACAGTACAATTATCGGGCGATATACTGGCGTTGTGCAGCAACGCACCAATATACCGATATACTATGTATTTAAAGCACCGATGGATTTCATGGTGCATGATGTAGGTGTCCGCATTTAGTGTCTAATATTGGGTTGGGTACACCACGCTCGTGGAACGAAGAGGCTATCGTCGCAGAGAGAGGAAGCTCTATTTTCTTCGTCAACTTATAGATCACTGTAAACGCTACAGTGAGTATTTTTGCTTGATTTACCATTTCGTAATATGCATCTACCGAAAACGGTTAAACTGCTGGAGGCTTATATTTCGGTCATGCTCTTGGTATGTTGTCTCCTGTTTTATCGGAGTTGATATACTTCGTAGAAAAGCAGAATCCCAGCTCCACGTACTCAGCAATATGTTTACGTAGAGGGTTCTAGAGGTAAATCATAACGACTTTTGCCCACGAAGGAACTGTTCGCATGACTGAATCGCAATCTGAAAGAAGTTGAACATTCAGTGTATTTTGAGGGACTCACCTCCCCAATGCGAAGCAAGTGGACTATATAGCAATGGATCTGTTGTATCACATAAGTTTACGTGGATATTCCCAAAAAAGCAATAGACGTGTTTGGTGGGAAGGTACACCGAAAGACTGGGCAAAGTGACGATGTTCCGGGTAAACCCGCTTATTTTCTGAGTAGTTGATGCATGGATAGTTCTTTAGTGCAAAATCTGGTGGGCAAACAACTCTGAAAGCTGTGTTCAGATACCGGGTCTGTCAGTATTTATGCTACTAAATGCATATTGTCAGTGCTAGGAAAATGGAACAGATAATCCAAACCATGCGTAGTCAAGTGAGAATAGGGTCCTCAAGTTAGAATTGCATCCTAAAAAGTAGTTAACTTATCAGAAGTCAGCGAAAGTCTCCAAAAATTCAGCTCCGTCTGCTCACAAAAACCCGAATTTCGTTATTGCACAAACGGCCTCACGTCTTCCCAGTTTACCCGGAAATTCGACGAGGCTACCTGGTATTTTCATCAACATGTGTGTATATAAGTATTTCAGATACAGTGTTCCACATTTTATTTATGTGAGTCGATTTCATGCTTTTGTTGCAATGTTCAATTTCCAGCTATTCTGGTTCACAGTGGAGTTTGGGTTGTGCAATGAGAAAAGTGGCCTCCGAGCATTCGGAGCAGGTATACTCTCCTCCTATGGGGAATTGGACAACGCGCTGAGCGACCAATCAGAAAAACGGCCGTTTGATCCAGATACGGCGGCTATCCAACCATACAATGACGTGGGATACCAGCCCGTCTATTTTGTTTGCGAGCGTTTTGATACAATGACACAGCAGTTGGAGTAAGTCTTCTGTGTTGAAGATTTACATGCATTTTCGAATGAGGCCCACAAGTGTTCAAGGTTACAAAGCATCAGGATGATAATGATGATGTCCATAACTGGTGTTGGTCGACGGTTTACATTTCGTAGGGACCTGGGATTGTAGGGTATTGTTTATTTACTTTGGGACACATAAAGTAGGTTTGATGCCTCTTAAACGACGACAAAGAATTTTCGAATGCGGGTAGGATTTTGTAACTGAGTTTATGCCTAACTGTTATATCTGATACGTTAACTTCAGCCGAAGGAAATATGAAATCAAGGATATGAATAATTAATTTAAGAGCGAGAAAACTAATCACGCTAGAGACTCACATGTGCGGGTGACTGGCTCTCGTCGCATCAGAGATATTCAAATGTTTCTCTTGTAAGTGTATCACATGATTCTCAGGTGGGATTGGGAAAACCACTGGGATCGAAAACCAGAACTGCTGTACATTCACAGTGGTCAATCCACTTTATCCTAATGCAGCAGAATAAGACTCAAGCGTCCATCATGAACAATACTTAGCTACTTTGTAATAACCCTGAGCAGATCAAAACAGAGGAACGCATACTCGATAAGTCAAGCGACGACGGGTACCACTGTGTGTCACACTGTTGACAGTATAACGAACGTGCAAACCAATAAATGAATTTAAAGGTTACAGCTTCAACTGAAATGCACACAGCTGCAACTGGACCAGGCCTCCTTGTGAACCTAGGTCTGGCCCAAATCACGTAATAAACAAAAATTCAAGAAAGGTCAGTTAACGGGGACTTGCAATTTTTGTGACTATTCTAAAAGTGAAGAGACGCTATCATGGTGACTGCACATGATAAGATGTTTGGCGATAGAAGGAACATAGAATAATGGAATCAGGCACGTGTAATTTTACCCACAAACCAAGCCTTCTTCCAGTTATTCCAGTGTCGAGGTTGTGACTTATACAGAGAGTTTGCCCAGTCAGTCTAAAGAGGGCAGTGGTGCTATCTCACATTCGGGTTTCCTGCAGAACAGATACGATAACACAATGATCAGCACAACAGATTAACAGATTGTGGGCAGAATATTTGTGTAATATAAACAGCCACTAGTGTCAACGTAGGATAATAGGCCAGATGGAGATATGTTTCCCCGTTGAAAAATTTCCTCCAGGTATTCTCCAACGCCCCATACGACTTACAAAGAAGGTTGCTAATAAGTTCGCTGACAACTGGCGTCGAGCGTAAAAACATCCGTCCCCGGAGTGATGTGCACTCACTTGCGTTCCCGATTTCATTGGTTTGCCCGGGTTTGTCCCACCTGAAAAACATGAGAATAATAGGGTGTGGAATGATAATATGCCCAGATGTATGTTCCAGCTAGCTTTATACGTTGGAGTTCCTATACGTGAAGTGTGTGTGGGTGTGAATTTCTCCCAAAATCTCCGGGAAATTCTTACATACACGTTTGTTTCCTGGAATGCGGCAAAATGAGATATCCCCGTGTTATCGACCCGACCGAATCCATGTGTGGCAGTTTTCTCGAGAATTTTATTTTCGTGACACCATCATGCCTTGAGGGAAATGCATGTTTTTTCCCAAGAAGCAGACATTGTGCAGCATATCCAGGTAAGGACAATAGAAACGGTTGTGTGTGGACCTCGCTAAGTGCAGTTAGTGTTGATGCTTGGTGGCGAACTATGTGTTACAACAACAAAGCAGCCCAAATTGGACAACAGTTTCGAATGGAGAACTTTGAATATTCAGTGTTCACTTCTACTGATCACCCATTTCAGGGATGTCTAGTATCTTCATGCAGTAGGACATGAAACGACCCTAACATTGTTCCTGCAATTAACTGGACAGAGTTGGAAGGGGCTTGAAGAAAATGCGTTGCATATAAGGCTTGGTAACTGTGTTGTTATCGTCCCTGTTGAATTTTGTTGTGATGTCGAACACACTAGCTCATAATCTCAACTGTAAGAAGACTAAGATTTGCGATCGTAATCGTCCAGTGTAGGAAACACGGATCGGAAAAGAGCCAGCTGCGGTTTTTCACTTGTGCAAGAGATCGCATAGTGTTGAATTTTCCACAAGGCAAGAATCAGATTTTACGCTCCCATTTTAATTTCGAAAGGGGTACTCGCTTTTAATGTGGGTGAGCAAGATAAGCGATAAACGTCTTTTTTGAACCTCTTTGAGACATATCCAGTTGGGTCGCGCTAATTTATGAAGCCGATGGTTGTAATGGTGTGACTGAGAATCAGACGTATTTAATACAAGAGAAGCTACTTGATGGGTTTGTGAACAGCTTCAGTCAGGCAGATGGTAGTCCATTTAGAGAAAGAAGTATGCAAATCCGAGTTTTGGTGAACGTCTGCAGTCTAAATATCCGAAACCAGTGTGAATACGTGTCTAACGATACATGTCAAAGGCCCGATATAAAACGGTGATTTATAAGCTCAGAGCGGTGAGTTACCATTCACTCCGAAAGGAATGCATTATCTTACCAATTAAGTGGTGATTTCTTCTAGGCTGTTCCATGCACATTTAGGATAGTTGCGCTGTATTCATTTTGGATTGAAGTAGAACTAACTGGTAAACATCACTTTTCCAGTAGCCTAATGGTGATCCTGATATATGCTAGAAACTACAACCTGCTTTCGGTATTGACATAAATCACGGGAAATGTCATGAAAGTTGATTCTCTAGCTATTACCAAGTTTGTTGAAGATTTCAACCAGTATACTGCGACCTGTTTCTGAAGCAGTGCTATGCATTAATGGTTACAAGATCAATCGGAATTGCCCAAGACTTTTATAGAACGTGCACCGCCAAATTCTTCATTTGTTTTTGGGATTACCAGTGTGGCGCCGAAAGATAAAGACCATAACAAGGAATACATACTCATGGAATACAGATTAAGAGCAGGATTTTAGCGAAATAGCCAACTGAATTGCATTTTCCCGCATCACTCATGACCCAAATGAAGTTCCAGAAGTTCAGTGACGAAACTGACTATCCTTGGTCACGACTGAACGAGACGTGGTGGAAACTGGAAACAGGGTTGACAGCAACCTAATTTGTGGTCAAGCTTGAGTGACTTTGACTATCAGCTTAAATTCCTCTGCGTGACTACCCAGCACTCTTTGCTGTTCAGTCACAGCTGCGGTTACCATACAGACCGGAGCCTTTTTGAAGTTCAAAAGATATTCATTAACAGATGTGTAACGTAGTATAGTTACCGTGGTAGGCAGACAATACGTTTTTTCATCCCGGCAGAGTGAATTAAGTCCACAAATATTCTCGAACTAAATAAGTTCGGTGGATGCTGGCTAGTCAGTCAAACAGGTAGTGGTCAGTTTTGAGGCGAGCATATGCCTACAGAGGTACGTAGACCCGGCAGACAAGGAGCGGTAAACTTCGCCGCTGATACTGAGAACACGGAGCTAATGCGACAAGTAGATTGGGTAGGTGGATGAATGCGAAAGACGTTCGGTTTTGAGGACATATGAACCTTGTCTATTTCCACCGTTTTTACTTTAACTGTGTTCTTAAAATTTGCAAGCTTTCTAAACTGTATAGAACCATAGAACCTTATGGTATGGATTATTTTTTCAGAGCAGCGTTAGTTAAACGATCATAGGGAGCTTAAAAAGTCTTCCAAATGTTGTTGCCCTGTTTAAAGCCCACCAAGCAGCTGTACCCGTGAATGTCGTTGGTAACTTTTCATGACGAAAAAAGGTACTTGGAATGAATTCATTTCGTTGCAGGGAATATGTCAAAAATTTGGTGCATCCGAAACTCTGGCCACGTTATGATCCGATAACCGATTCGGTAGAACTATTAAACATGGAACAGCAATGCCTAGATGTTTTGGAACGTCTATCTAATAGTACCAGTGAAATGAAGACTATTGTCGAAAAACTATATGTATTTGATTTGCATGGTGCATAACCAGCGGTTGATGTAGTTCCATTTTCCCTAATAATGCTTTGGTTGTATGCTTTTTCCGCTTTCAAGAAATGTAACCACACTGGACTTCGATCCTTCTGTTGTTTATTCCACCCAGCGTTTTGTTAGATTTCGTCATCATTTGTAGCATTCATTAAACCATTTTCAAAAGCAGTTATATCCACATGCATGTCATAATTTTACTGTTCATATTTCGGTTATTATAGTGGAAGATCCTGACAATGATGACACCGTTTTTCAATACTATATTGCGTAAATTTATGATTTCAGTTTTTTTGAGATTAGATAAGGTGATAACGTGACCGAACAAAAATGAGTTTCATNCATTATGTAAAAACAGCCACTACTCTCATGTCCGACATATCCTAAATTGTATACTGTTCATGTTGGTGGCTACAGCGGGACTGGTGTAAAAAAGAATGCGGTGTGATTGCCGAGTTTCTTCTGATTAAACGTAGAATTCTGTATGAACATTCACTTAGTCACTGTAATAAACAAAGTGAACGATGATTAAATGGTACCATATCTCTTCCAAATTTAGAGCAAGGATGGAGTTGTTGTGAAATTTAGAACACTCTCATTGTACTTAGTGGTGCAGTTGAGTGAGTAAAATATCGTTTGACAAACGCAACTATTATAATAATGATTGCAAGAGATCCTATGGTGGTTGGGTTTGGGGTTTATTCCGAATATATGGAAAGGGTTAGTGAGAATGAAGTGGCGAAAGTAATACTAACGAAATTAATGGCCATGTTCAAAATAATAAGAATGATATTACGTACGAAGACTATTACTGAGAAACAAATATACCCTCAGAATGATAATGGTCACCACAATTCCTGCGCTAACGAAATTAATGGCCATATTCAAAATAATAAGAATGATATTACGTACAAAGACTATTACTGAGAGACAAATATACCCCCAGAATGATAATGGTCACCACAATTCCTGCTCAACTGGTGTCTCTTTAAGACAGTGGCAAGAAATACAAGCTGTACGGCCTACAGTTTTGTAGTTGAACTGATTGAAAACTTTGGGATAGTTGTACCGGCTTGAGTCATATCAGAGAACATATTTTTTTAGATCTCCTCATCAAACACATCAGGATTACAAATACATCGTGTTCCATGCTGACCTGGCCTCCAGTCACATCCTGGTGATAAAAAATCCTTACAGCTCAAATTATTAAAATGGCTGACTGAAATATTTTGGATAGTGTGGGATTGTGTGGTAAGCGAAGTCCTGAGGGATGGAGCGATGGGTGATTAAACGCCTCGCAAATCCGGAAATTTTTTTCGCCCACAATAATTAAACCAGCCTGGTCCTGGAGGCTTCATGTAGGACTTTCTCGACAATAATGATACCCAAATCGGCCACTTCCACTTGAACTGATACAGCAGCCCATGTATTTTTACAGATGAAGTAAGAAAGCTATCAAGATCAAACTTACATCCAGACTGACATTGTAGCGGAAAGTCTATTTGACGTTATGTAAGGTAAATGCGCAGTTTGTACTATCCAACGGATAGGTTGGTGCCTCATAACTATTAGCCTATTTAGGAGATAGACACATGAGTAATACCATATACATGGTAGCACGATCGGTCAGTTACTCTGTCAGTTCACAGTAACTGGACCAGTAGTGACTATTTCCATGGGTCTTATTTCAATGGCATCATTCGGTATGGAGTAAATGTTTCACTGTTGCGTTCACGGGTAGTGAGTGAAAACTGATTTGGGCGTTTCAGTTGGTAGTGGAGCGACCAGGTGCATATAAGAATAACATTGGCTTCCTGAAATCATAAGGGGGCCAACTAAGGTGGTGGTTTGCGGTGACTGGTTTACTAGACGGTTGCACGACGAATAACATGCAGGAAGGGAGGAAAGAATTTCGGAATTAGACTAAGTTGTCTATAGAGACAAATTTCGGTAGCTCAGGTAGCGTAGGTGGCTGATGGCTTGTTTGTTGAGTTGGGCAATTTGATTGCAAACGTTTTCTCACCAATCGAGTTGAATCATCAGTGTGTAGTGGAGTTAGAATCAGGCGTAGATGAAGCACTGATGTGAGGTTGTAGGCCAGTGAGCTTCAGAACACCAGTCATTATTTGTCCTGCAACATATCAGTCAGTGGGAATTGTTACTGGGTAGATGCGCAAGGGTAGTAAACACCTGATCAGGCAGCGATCTGATGATCCTGTGGACTTTTAAATAAGGATCAGATATTGCCGCGGTGCTGAGAGGTAAGCACAGAAGCTGCTGAGATCGGTGCCTGGTTGGCCGTAAGGTAATCGTACGTGTGTGCACCAAACGTCTTCGATACAATTTCTTTGGTGGGCCACCAGGCTTGGACAACGCATTTATGTATTCACATACTTGATGTGCTGAACAGTCAGGGGGAACCCGTAGCGCTGGATTATCAACGTCAGTGGCGTCAAGGTATATTCTTTAAACAAAAAAGGGAAATCTCATCAGCTACAGTCCACTTACCACAAAAGTTTTCACAGTAAATAAACAGCGATAATCGTACCATGTACCAAAGCGTCATGATCTATACTCATATTACCACGATTTTCCAGCCATGGTCATCTGACTGTTAAATATTTTTTCTCAGATTCCAAATAGGGTTACGCCTATTTCTGTAGCTAACCTCAAAGCTTACGGTTTAATTTTGGCCCTTGAGATTAACTATGTGTTTACAGTGCTCCTCTGGTGAACTATTATTGGAAGTATTCCAACCAGGATTCCCGGAGTTGCTTTCATTAAACATATGCTTCGCAAAATATTTTTTAATAACCCACTACCTGAAGACCACTTGGGTTCTGTTCTTTGAATTTGACTGAAGCATTGCCCGAGTGCATTAACCTATTCCAGCTCTATCTTACCTCTCTGTCCACAAACAGTATAAGTTTGAGCTGAATTTTACTGGATCGGCTATTCGAATTATGCCCTCAGCTCGAAGGGGCAGAGCGTCTCACATCAGTGATTGACAGAAATCATCCTGAGGTCCAGGATTTCTATGTGCCTGCTAGCTGAGTCAGATTTCCCGGCTTCACGTATAGATGTGGTTAGCTAGTTCGTCTGAGTTACGGTCAGCTTCCTGCGAGTAAACCGCTCGTAAAACATTGCACAGTAGGCCTCATTATTTCCCCCAGCTTGTGACGAGGAGTTTTTCTACTGTTATATGCTGGAGCGATTTTTGTGTCTACTGGGTATATCTGGTGAAAATCCAAACCAAGAATGTTATGAATCAACGTGTGCATACCAGGATGATTAGCAGGTAGGGGCTGTGCCGGTGATCATGTAATGAAACTGACTCCAAGGCCACTCATTTGTAAGGAGCGCCAGGTGGCAGTGAGGCACTCACTAGGTTTAAATAGCATGCTGCTGAGAGAAAATGGCAGCTGATATGAAGTTGGCAAAGACGCTCATCGATCACACTAAATTTTGCTTGTAGGCTTAACAAGCCACCAAGGTGATCTTCAAGTACATTGAAATTGTTTACTGCTGCAACCATACCTTAGCACTTCGTCGTAGACAAGAGGGCAGTTAGTTCTCGATAGAAGGTGTCTTTCGGTGAATAGGAACTACTGTTAGTTGGTGCATAAATGAACATGACAAACAATGGGCGGTCGGTATTTTGACCAATGCGGATCGTTATGATAGCGCAGGTTCTCTACAGGTAATTAAACCTTGGCCTACGAAATACCGGTGTAATCCGTAACAGCATCTACAGTATGTAGAATCTCGTATTGGAGTTCCAGATATCTAAAAGACGTCACTTAACGAAATGTTTAGAGTGCAGTTAAGGATAGCTTGCTGAGCTTTTCAAGTGTTTGCATGGTAAATATTATGGTATGGAGAGGGATGGAGTCAGAATCGCGGATGCACTGTGGTAGCAGTGGGCGATGTCTTAAGACTGGTCATCTCCCAAGGTGGCGTGTTGACGTGCGTGCAGCTAGGACCTATGGAAAGTTGACTATCAAGCTGGACAAGGGTGGACTCAAGAGACTCAAAATTCAAGAAATAGTGGACATTAGCAACCACCTGTTTTCTTTTATCAGTCCTGCTTTATGTGGCGATTGCCACCATGCGATGACCGATGTTGCAGCAAGGCAATTTCGCTTACGTATTTTATGGGACACTGCCAAGCTGCCTAAATCTAGAAAAATCAATAACTCCGGTCCTTTCAACGTCTTGAGTCCAGAAGTTTGGGTGCAAGGTAACGGTTGTTGGTAAAGGGTTACCAGAATACTCCAAATTTTCAGGCTACGAATTGCCACCTCTCTTGAAACCCGAAGCTAAGGGGACAGGGGACTCTTTGTCGGACTTCTGTGCATTGACCAGATTGATAGTGAATACAAGCTGTAATACAGCTAGCCTAGCTACTGTGGTAAGTACCACCGATATGGTCCCGCCTCTGCAACGGAACCGCACAGCTATAGATATACCTCTCATCCCGCCAACGTAAACGTCAAACGTTTGTACCAGCTGCAGAGGATAACTTAGACGGCAAGTGCCCGTGAGTTTGATGGCAGGCGAGACCAGACTGCTCATTACAGATGGATGTTCGATCTACCTTCTCACTGGAGGTGAAGGGTTGAGGGTTTTCGGTGCTACTACTATGCTGAAAAAAGTTAAAGCATACGGTTCCGTTTAATTTGTCCTCCTATGCCAGTCGTCTTTGACTGACTTCAGATGTTACTCCATCAATCTGTACGAAGTTTTCAGAAAGCCTGATTGCTTCGGATAACGTAAACGTGTTGACCTAAGTGAAAAAAATGAATTCGAAAATTTTAAATTCATCCCGTTTAAGTTTTGTATCAAGGTGTTCAGGTCATGCATTTTACTGGAATCGACAACTAGAATGAGAATCGGCGAACAGCATTTTGGTTAAAGCCATTCTCGACATGTATAACTTTATAATTTTCTCACAAGTTTACCTGAGGATTCTACTAATGGAACCTACTTGTACACACATTCGGACATTCTGCCGAACAAAACTAAGCCTAATCATACTCCGGTGTATCCTTTCCCAGAAGAGGATTAGAAGACATGGCATATCAGCGTAAGTAATGCTTCCTTAGAAGGAATGCATTCGAAAAGAGAAGGTTAAGACGGTAAGTTTGTCTGCTTGGTTGGACAAC